AGGAGCTAGAAGAAGCAGAGTGAATGGTAGATGAGCCTTTATATGTGCCTATTTATTCAGAAGTCCCTAAATTATCTAACTGTGGGTTGATTTTACATCAGTTTTAACTAGACCCTCATAGCCAATTAATGAGACTCAGAGTATGACAGGTTTTGCAGCATTAGGATTAAAACAGTTTGGAAGAGACTGCAAGGGGTGAAAAGAAGGATGTCAAAACACATACTGTGGGTTACTCCAAGTAGTAGTGCGTGCAGAATAGGAAGTGTACACCAGAAGGAAATGGTTCACTGCAGTATGAACTCAATGCCAAAATCCACACCTGTATGTTCTTCCTGCTTTATTTCACTTTCACTGTGGATATCTCTTTCTCAAAATCTCCATGTCCCCACCACCCTTTTTAGAGGGGTGTATGTGGGTAGAAGATGTTTCATTACAGAACAAAACAAAGCAAAGTTAGAATACAACTTAATAGGCAGAAAAAAGCCACCACTTCACAGTGGGACTGCTGGTCTTCACTGAACTCTCCTGGGGTTTATTTTTCCCCTCCTCTGCACACAAGTGCTTGAGAAGGGGATTAATTCTAATGCTAAATGCCCTATATTCAGGATTTCCACAGTACCAATTGGCTCCCCTGAAAAGTCCATGGATATTGCTCAGCACTTTCTCTGTGTTGTCATTAGGTTTAAATGCACATTTTGAAGCCAATGCTGTGTAGATTTTAGTCTGTTGCTAGTGTTGATTTATACAAACTCCTTAAAAAGCTGCATGAGTGAAGTGATTAGATACATGTTTATTGCTTTTATGGAACCTCACTTCTCATTCAGAGGCCTTTTTCTGTTATTAGGCAAATATTTTTAAGGCATTTGCTGAATTGTTCCAAGTTGCTTCAGCTAAACCTGCACCTCTTGGCATCTGTGATTATCCGTCGTCGAGAGCAATATATGCCATTGACTTGATGCTTAAATGGGACACCAGCAGAGATGGTGAGAAGCTTAGTTGAATGTTGAATTCTTTACATTTGTGAACCTTTTCAGAAGTTTATTTTTTCTCTCTGAACTGTTACTGTTTTCCAAGCAGTGTGAGCTGTGTGCTTAGTGCCTCCCACTGATATCTAAGTTGCAGATCTGTGGGATTGGCCAGAATGACAGGAGGGTTATGCTGGTTAACCAGAATGACAGGGGAGCTGTGAACTGCTTGGCTGAGTCCTTGCTTCTCTTGTGCCCCTGCTGCTGCCATTCTCTGTTTGGAGAAAAACAAAACAAAACAACTGCAAAAAAACCCCAAAAGAACCCAAACAAACCACCACACACAAAAACACCAAACAAATATCTGAAATACCTGTGTCTGTATGAAAACCTTAGAGACATTTTACTATCTGTGGCTTCCAGGCTTGGACCAGTGTCTTCAATGCAGTTACTTACTAAAGCAGGAAAGGGACCACATTCACCATTTCGGTGCTATTGATGTCCTCAGTTATTGCCAAGTTTCTGCAAGAACATTTGGGTGAAGCTACTTAAGTGTAGTTTGGCTGACTACCTGAAGCCTTTCTTCCAGCCAGTTCTGGAGGGCTGGAGATTTACCAAACACAGTGAATTTTTTATTATGTCACTAGGATGCTCAAAAATGTTCTGTAAATGTGCCCAATCTAGACACATGTCTCTTGTAGGTAGAAAAGCAGCAGAGGCAGCAACACAAAAAGCACTGCCAGGAGGGTGTTAAACAGAGCTGAGTGTACACTTCCTGTGATACAGGGTTCTCTGGGCCACAGGAGAAGTTTGTTGCTTGTGCCCAGGTTTGCCAGACGAGTGATTAGATGTGTGTTGGGTGAGTGCCCCTAGCCAACTGCTGCGGTGACTGCGTCTGTAAATATCGAATCACTTTCATGGAGGGAAGTGATTGAGAAACAGGAGTAGAAGAATTGAGCCTGTGCTATTCAGATCAAGTGGAGCAAGTGTTTGAATTTGGTTTTGCTACATCCACATTCTTTTTCACCTGTCCCAGAGAAGCAAAACAGCTCATTAACTTACTACCTCAAGGAAATTATTGCAGTGAAAGAACCAACCTCACATTCCAGCCCTGGCTGAACATGAGCTGCACAGGTCCTTGGCCTTTTGGGGGTGTGGGTGTCAAAAAGTCACTGCTGTGATGCTGTAGGCAGCCTATGGACAAATAGGTTAGTTGCTTCTGTGCAGAGCAGTGTGTGGTTCACTTATGCATCACAATGTTGTAGCCTCACTTAATGATCTCAACACCAGACATGAAATAAAACCCTTTGGTTTTCCTTGCACAGAATGATTTGATTCAGAACTGTACCCATGAAGCTTTAAGAGAAAATTAAACTTCCTCATTTCCTTTAGGAAGAGGCAGGTGGGAGTGGCTGGAGTGTAAAGGAACAGGACAGCTAGATATCTAAGAGTTTTAAGAAAGAAAAGCTTGTACTGAAACAAAAAAGGAGAAGCAGTTTTCTAGAAGGTGTTTCAGACTGTCAAACAAGACAGATGTATTGGGGAGACCTATTAAATTGCTGCCAATTCTCATTGTAAAAGAGGCATGGGATTAGCACAGTGACGGTAGAAGCTGTTGGATAATTGTCCTCTGGATAATGATGGTAGAACTCCTCTGTCCCTCCAATAAAAACCTAACCCACTGAAATCAAAGCACCCTCCTGTTTTGCCAGCTTAGGTCATAAGAGATAGCTTTTTCTAGTCACTTGCTATAATCTCTGGATTAAAGACAGGTAGTGATTTGGGATCTCTACAGCACTTGTATTAAGAGGCCATGTTTGTGTTCAACTTTACAGGAAAAAGAATTATGCAGCCTCAGATCTTGGAGGTGAACTTTAATCCTGACTGTGATAGAGCCTGCAAATATCACCCTACCTTTTTTAACGATGTCTTCAGCACCCTATTTCTGGATGAAACAGACAACTGCCACGTGACATGCATTGTCTAGTCACAGGAGACATGACTATTCATTTCCTTCCCTGATATGCTTAACAGCAAGATTTCTGTTTCAGTTCTATGAGCTGCTGATGCAGTATATTTTCCTGTACTGATAACCAAGGGAAAAAATGGATCAGAAGAATATGCATATACCATATACTGTATTGATAATCACTTTGTCTGCATTTTCCTTGTCTTGCTTATTTTTTTTATATAAATCACTGGTGTATGTTGACAAAATGTCTTGTTTATTGATTATAGGAGACCTCAAAATAGGACAGTAACTGGGGCAGTTGACTCGTTTTGCAGGTAGCCTGATTGCTTGCTTGCTGGGAAACATTGCACAAGTTCCCTGTGACAATATTAAAACTATAATTTACTGAATCATGCTGGAGTTTGCATGGCTCTTTCTTATCTGTCCTTCCTATACAAAGATCTGAAAAGTTCTGGTGGGAAAATAATAAGGTATTTCAGTGCAATAAGCTACTGGGGCAATGAGACTAAAGATTTTATGGCTCTTCCTATCTTTCTTCTTTAAAAAGAGGCAAACAAATCCCACAACATTTAGGAACCCTGTCATTCTTAGCCTGCCGCTCAAAAAACCCAGATTTTTGAGAAGGGGTCAGGCAGGGAATGAGAAGGCAATGTCCAGAGCAGCACAGGAGTGAGCCTGAAGGAATGAAAGTTTGAGAAGGCAATGTCCAGAGCAACACAGGAGTGAGCCTGAAGGAATGAAAGGGAGTTGGAACACTCTCCTAGAAGCCCAAGCAGTCTTTGGACTTCCAAGTATAGTGCCTAAGAGAGGTATTTGGGAGTGGGATGTCAGTTTGAAATTAACCATTCCTAATCTATCCTCTTTCCTCAAATCAGGGCAACTGGCTGAAATTTAGCAATTTTAGGTACAAGTTGCAAAATATTCTGCTGTCATGATGTGTATGTTGTGTGGATAGTAATTATTTGAGCTAGTTTGCCACACTCAGGATCTGCTTGAGAGCAATGTAGTTATAAAATTATATAAATGTTCTAAACCTTGCTTCCAACTGTGCAAATATACAACATGTTATCCCTCACGATCTGGAAGGGAGAGGGTTATTTTAGCCAGTTTCAGGCTTGTCTGCAGAAACCTACTTCTTTCCACTGACTGGAACATAGGCTGAAGAAATAAAGCATCCGTCACTGTGCAGGTGGGACAGAAGGGAGAGCTGGATTGCACAGCCAGAAGTGCTCACAGCCACATTGGGCTCCTGCTCATGCATCAGACCTGGTTTGGACTCCTTGCATAAACTTGGTTAAGGACACAGAGGTATGTGCAGGGGCTGCTGAGGGTTTGGGTCCTCTCAGTTTCTTTCCAGGTGCTCTGAATTTCCTGTTTTGCCTTACCCATTGCAATGATGAGGAGAAGAGATGAAGGGGCTGTCACTGAGGCTATAGCATCCTGTTACCTTCAGTATTTTTCAAACCAATTTCAAAACAATACAAGCAAGGAACAAGGTTAGTAAGTTTACATGTAGTTTAATGCATTTGTTGACACTAGAATGTACAGTGTTTCAAAGTGGGAAGGCACAAATTGTGAAAAAGAGCTTGTCTTAAATGTTTTCGGAGCACCATGACCAGAAGATAAATATCTGGCAGCTGTAGTGGAACACATCATAGCACAAAAACACTGTGCTTAGTGGTAAACATGAAAGATCCAGGCCACAATTATGCCTGTCATACCTGTCTGGAGTATGTTTAGGAGTTTGGAGCACTTTAGGAGCACCTTTCTGGAATCTGTTGGTATATGGCTGGATTTCTTCCTCTGAACATCATGAAGATGGAGTTCTTGCCTATCTCTGGTAACAGTTCAAATGCTGTTGTCATAGAAAATGTAATGCTGTACTATAGAAAAACTAGAACTTCTCAATCAAAATCTTTTAGTTTGCTGTAAACCCCAGTGAGGCATACAGCCCTCTGTGACTTGCCCAGTAAAGGCACATTTGTTTGAAACAAGTACTGCTTTGGCAACTTGGAATTAACCAACTAATGGTGTAAGTAGTTAAGCTAAAAAGAAAATAAGGCCATAACTTTATATAAAAAAAATTTTGGAAAAAGAAGATCTTTTTGCTGAAAACGGCTTATTCAGGTCTGGTCTTGTTGGGATTGTCCTTCCAGATACGATAATTGAGTGCAGAAGCCATGGCTAGCCAAGCTAAATAAGGAACCATCAAGTAAGCTGCTGTTTTGTTGACATTATACCAGGAAGCAGTTGTAGCTGTTGCCATACCACTTGTAAGCAGGAGAGTCACCAACCCCTGAAACACAGAAAGGTGGTTAGTGTTGGTTTTTGCTCACTGCATTTGCTTGACTGCATAGTCTTTGTGTGGCTTTTTCCACCCAGCTCTGGCACCTCTTGGTACCCCTGTGAATTTATTCCTTCTCAGAAAACCAGCCAGCAAAACCAAGAGAGATTTCTGCCGAGTTATGAACCAATTTGACTCATAAAATGATACAACAGGTACAAGAAAGGGCATTGCAGCTGGGAGCAGGAGAGGGAGAATTAAGTCTCTCTCACCAATACCCTCTCTTTTGGCCAGTGGGACACTTCCCACTGTTTACAAACCCAGTGTGACTGAGCCAGGAGACTTGTCCAGTCTTTTCATGTCATAGATACTGCCAGAAGAGATGCAGTGTGAATGAATCAGTAATGGATTGTAAACTCTTCTCCTAGTACAGTATCACATGTATATCTAGAGAACCAGGCAAATATTCTGTATTTTTATTACTGATTTTTATTTTTGAGGCAAGCTATTTCTCTTCACAGGACTGCAGAAAATTAGTGTTTTCTAAAATGGTTGTTAATTACCTGGATAATTTTGTAATAAGCTTCTTAATTGTTGCTATTTGCCAGAGAGACCTAGGAATTTTAGTAAGGCATATTTATATTTTCTAGTCACACAAAGCTCTTACCAAAGGCTGACAGAAAGAGCTTCTTGAAATCTATGCATTTAAGGGTGCTCTAGGTATGTAAATTCCTCCAGGTGGCTGCTGGCATGCATAAAGAGAATTTTAGAAAACTTCTGCAAGTCATACTCTGCACTCAGGCTCATTTTCAGGGAGAAAAGATTATAACACAAAACTTTCATCTTAGCACCTTGCAAGTAAGAGTAGAAGCATTTGATTAAGAAACCTAGTTTTGCACTTACCCATCCTGTTTTGTGAGCTCCAAAAAAGACTGGAGTCCATGCCCAGTTCAGTGCCAGCTGCCCGGCATACAGACCCAGTGGAACCAGTGACTTTTCATTGAAGCCTCCCAGTTCCTTCCACACCAGGTAGGAGCCATATCTGGAGAAAGCAAACAAGGTGTAATTCACTACATTGGTTAGAAAGCTGCCACACATTCTTGATCAAATGAAATAAGTTCAGTGCTGGGGTCTAGACTCGTTTGGAAAAACAGATATCCAGATGCTGTTTGACAGAGTAACTGACAGCACAGGGTTGATCAACTGCTCCAGATAACCACACGGAGAGAGAAAAATTTCCTATCCTGCCAGAGTTCTGACTTCTAGGGATAACCACATGGAGAGAGAAAAATTCCCTATCCTGCCAGAGTTCTGACTTCTAGGTACATAGGAGCAAACATCCATAGAAGTAATTGCAAGGAGTTTGTCTTCATTTGTAGGTCATACAAGAAGGATTTTTCCTGTTAGTTTAACCCACTTGGTGACCCATACTTGCTTCTTGGCCATTACTTTCATAGGGCCTGAACAATGCAGCTTTGATATTTTGGCAGTTGGAGTGCAGAAAATATCAAAAACAAAAGAAGGGAGGGCAGGATAAGCATTAGAAACTGAAGTTTCCCAAGAGGTTTACAGAGCACAGTGTGGACTTGCAGTTGTTCATATATTTAACTTCAACTTCAGACCAAGATTGTGATGCACAAATCTGCTAGGAAGGGTGTGTAAGCTTATTAAATCTTGCTTTTAATTATTTGTTGCTTTTCATATATTCAAGAGATTCTGAAGGAATGAAATGTCTTGAACATTCAAGGAATGTGTTCACGATGGGTTACAGAAGAAAAGCCTGGTAATAAATATGACCTTTTCCCTGAGCTAGATGTGTAGTCTATAGCAGAGACCTTGTGGTATACTGATCCTGTTGTTACCACAGTAAGTGATGAGCTGTCACAATTTGGATTTGCTAAGGTATTAGCTAATTAGGATTTTGCTAACCTGACACCCAGGTTTATGATGAGGAATCCAGAAGGAAGCTGGGAAAGCCACCCAGCTCTTGTCTCTTTAATCACAGGTATTTTTTTTATTCACAGGACAGTAGTGATCTGATTCAAATGCTAACCCTTGGAATACACAAGTATTCCACTTAAATAAGTTTAAAAGTACACTCTGTAAGAGGAGAAAGAAAAGAGAATGCTGGTGGTAAAGGGGGGACAGTACATGAGGCTACAAAAATCACAAAGCTTTTTTGGGTAGAAAATGCAAGCAAAATGAGAGTACACATGAGTGCCAATTTAGCATTCAGCTCCAGTTTCAGGCATTGCATCCTTGCTGTACTTTGCAACAGGTGGGATGGGATTTAAGATAACCTGCAGCATGACTGTGTAATGTTAACTGGAAAAAGATTTGGTCTCTTTGAAACTTTATATAGTTAAGCCAGTGCTATATACAAACTAAAAATCACTTAAAATGTACTGTCATGATGGAAGAAATGGGAGGGGTGAGCCAAAAAAGGCATATTGCAGCCTGGAAATTATTACTAGTGGATTAGCAACAATGTGTATTTGATAGCTAGGAAAAAACATTCTGAATCTCAGTATGTAGCTGGTTCTTAATGACCCAGGGCAGAAGGGCCACAAAGCATTGCTCTGTGCTTGGGGGCTGCACTGACTGCTGCTGAGGCTCTGGGAGCAGAGTGCTGCCTCCTCTGGGGCACAGCTCACCAGAGTTAACACCAAAGCACGTGGTGTTGGGGGGAAGAGCTTCTGGAGCAGTCTGTGAGGAGTATCAAAACTGCCCAAACAAACTCCTGCGACAACCTACCTCTATAAGTATACAGCTTCTGGAGCAGTCTGTGAGGCGTATCAAAACTGCCCAAACAAACTCTTGCGACAACCTACCTCTATAAGTATTTTCC